TTCAGTCCTTCCCAGACTCTGGTGGGGAGGACGACGCTCGGTCCCCACCCCATCTTTTCGGAGATGGGCAAATCGAGGCTTGTTTTCAAACCCTGACAGCTCCTTGGAGCCTTCTGCTACACCTACCCCGTGGCAGCGCTCTGTGCACGAGCCAGATTTCCAGATGCCCGCGGGGTGCACGGGCACGATGATTTCGGCGAAAGGCCCAGCAAAGCTCTCTGACCGCCTGCCCCCAGCCCATCACAGGCTGCACCCCACCCGTCACCTCCACGCGTCCCCACGGCAGCTGGGGTTGGCTTGGCACGTCCCCGCCGCCGTCCCTTTCAGCTCTCTGTAGATGCAATTCTCTGCCTAATGACTTCAGCAATCAGATAAAAGGGATGGGAGGAAAAAAAAAAAAGAAAAAAAAAAAAAGACTACATACTTCATGCCAGAAAAATGCAAACGTGTCACACGCGGAGGCACGGGGCCAAAAAGGCACAGCAGCCAGCACCCGAAAAAGCAACCTCCGATGACAACCAGAAGCTGGGATCCCTTTCTCCAACATGTAATGAAGTCAAAGAGCAGCGCAACTTATTTTCCTCGCTAATTACCTCCAGTTTCACATTACAGGCGGTTTTTCACAGCTGGCACACGGAAATCCCAGACACGGAGCTGGGGCATGCGCCGGGGCTACCAGCAGCAGAAGCTGCAGCATCCTTTGCACTTTGTGCTCCCCGTGCAAACACTCGGGGACTTGGTGCCTCCTTGCAGACTTCACACACAGCTCTCCTCGATGCCCGGAGAGATGGCAGGAGGCGCAGGAATAGCCCACGCTAATCAAGAAACGGATTTCCCAGGAGGAAAGCAAGCTCGAAAGGTGAGGCAGGGGCTCTGGGAAAGCTCAGGTGTGCTCATGGGGCCAGCGGAGACCTTGGAGGGCATCGCCAACCTGCCCACCACGGAGGAAGAGGATGCTCAGCCCCGAGAAGCCCCCGAGATGCTCAGCACCCTCCTGCAAGACACGGCCCAGCCCGTTCCTCCTGCCTACAGGCTCCTGGCGCCGTGCAGCGAGCATCGGAGCCGCCCGCAGCCAGGGAAAGCCTCCAAGCACAGATCGGAGCACGTTCCTGGGAGGGGGAACGGGAACAGGGCAGGCAGGCAGAGGCATCGGCGGGGAGAGCCGAGGCCAGGTCCCAGCACGCCGCGGCCGTACCGTGATGCAAAGCGCGAGCCAGGAGACGTCGGGGTGAGTTTGCTAAACAAACGCAATTGGTTTTGGCTCCCACTCCTGCACCGCTGAAGCTCGTGGCCGTGCCAGCGGAGTCTGGGAGCTGGGTGGGATCCGTGCCGTCCCTTAACCGTGTGGCTTCGTGGCCTTTTGGAAAACCAAAAGCTTGTTTATTCCTCATCACCTCTGACACACCGCTAAGGGTGCTGCCCAGCTGCACCCTGCGCACACGCAGGGATGTGTGCACGCATCCATCCTCTCTGCTCCCACACAGACCTTGGGCCAGCTCACATTTACGACGCTGCGCTCCAGCTCGGCTTCATGAAGATCTCTGCCTGCTGTCTGAAGTTAATTTTCCCCCCTTTGGTCGATCAACTCAAAATTGGGTTTGCATATTAAAATGAAATTTAATTTCTAGGCCATTACCCCAGAGCGGGCTAGCTCCCGTGCCTGCAAAATGAGACACAAACAAACAGACCTAGCAATTAATTTCCCGGTTAGACGCAAATTCCAGTAATAAATAATAGTAATGATGTTCTGCAGAGGCACAGGGACCCTTTCATTTCACAATACCCAACCCACGTCGCGGGAAGCCGGCAAAGCCTCGCTGCTCCTGGTGCGTGGCGAGCTGCTCGTGCGCGGCGCTGGCAAACAACCCTGCTGGGTGCTTTCTTACGAGGCCTGCAGACAGCATCCTCTGGATTCGCCCTGCTTCGCACCAACGTGGCAGGCTTCCGATTATTTCTCATCCTGGCTTTTCACAGCCCGCTAGGTTTTATCTTTTCCTCTCAAGCAGAGGGCCCAGGGAGACAGACAAAAAAAAAAAAAGAAAAAAAAAAAAAAAGAGTTTTGAGAGCTGAGAGCTTGCAGCACCCAACACTGCAACAGCTGTAAACAAAAGCAAAATTTAAATAAATGTAGAAATAAAAAAGAAACCACAAAGCAAGCAAGCAAACAAAAAACTAAAACCAGAGCAGCGGCAGCATTTGCTGAGACGTGCCTGGGGAAGAGCAGACGTCCACGCACCAGGACAGGTTGCTTTGCAGCTGGCTCCGAGCACGCTCCTCTGCTTGGCCGCATCCCAGCCGGCGCAGTTTTCAACAATAAACACGGCTTCCATCGGGAACCACCCTCCGGACCCCGCACGCCGTTTCCACTTCAGTGTAAGAGACTCGCCCGCATCCACGCAGCCCCAAAACAGGCCTGGAGGGTCCGAGGGAGGCAGCCCTGGATCTGCGGAGCACGCCAGGCTTTTTCCAAGCTGCACGTGCCGGGAGGGCAGCGATGGCACCTGCGCCACGTCCCCTGCAGCCGGTGCTGGGACACCAGGGGACACCGGGGACACGGACTCCGCGCACCCTGGGCACCATGAGGCTGCAGTGAGCAGAGGTCCCCACGAGCATCCCTGCCCAGAAGGGGACTCAGATATGAGGAGGACTCAAAGGCGAGAGGGGAATGGGGGAAAGGGGTGGCGGGGGGATGTCCCTTGCCCTTTGGGCTCCCTGGGTTTGCTTGCTCGGGGAGGGACAGACAGACAGACAGAGCCTCCAGCCTGCACAATAGGCGATTTCCTGAGAAAGGGCAGCGTATCCAGCGGCACAAAAGGCTCTTATGCTGCTGCCCAGCAGCGGCGGGGAGCTGCCAGAGCCCACAAGAGCCGAGGGAGCTGCTGGGGTCCCCCTGCTACCAGCCCCCAGCTCCCCTTCGAGGACGCAAAAACGGTGCCGGCACCATCCCGGCCAGGAGGCACGTCCCACTGTGGCAAGAGTTACCGCGATGTTTGCAAGCAGCTGCACGTAAAAAAAAAAAAAAAAAAAACACCACAAGAAACCAGGAAGGCAGCGTGGGATCTGAGGGCGAGATGCTCCCCCCCGTGCCAGAGCCCCACCGCCCTCGCAGGGCACGGGGCAGCTTTCGGCCGCGCACAGGCACGGCTTTGTCCCCGCCGCTGACCTCTGGGCCCTGGCATTTTGGGCAGCCCGGGCTGGAGGCGGTAGCAGAGGGAGGCTGCTCGTCGGGCCTCCCCGCCGTGTCCTCTCGTTAATCAGAGAGGCTCATTGGCAAAAAAAAAAAAAAAAAAAAAAAAAAAAAAAAGACGAGGGTGAAGGCAGGCTCTCATTAAGCAGCAGCACGCGCTTGTTTTCTGGGGGAAGAAAATCCAGAAGCAGCCAACGTGATCCGGGCACCCGGCGAGCACAGGTTCAAGCCCTGCTGGAGCTGCGGGGAGGAGGCCAGATCCTCAGCCTGCTCGCTCCTGCCGAGGAGGATGCTGTAAAGGGCCGGGGAGCAAGCCGAGCTCCGTGCCGACCCTGGGGCACCCAAATCCTGCTGCCCAAGCACCCACAAACCCTCCTGAAATGCCCCCAGAAGGGGGCCACCAGCCTAAACTGGAGGTGAGTGACAGTGGGTACGCTACTGGGAGCGGTAACCCCCTCCCAAGGAACAGCCACACCACTCGTCAGCCTCACAGAGGGGAATGGCCGTGGGTACCCCGCAAAGTCCCGGTTACGGCGTCCCCGCTTCAGCCTCCCCCTTTTCCCAGCACATCTCACCAACGGGAGCCGACTCGAGATGTAACAGGCTCCAAAAAAATAAAACCCCACAACCCCCAAAATGCTTCTCTCCAAACTATCCAGCAGCCCCAACCTCTGGCTGCACAGCGAGCCGCTCTGAATCCAACTCCAAAATTCGGGATAAAACCCCAAGCGCTGGCTTCGAAACCCGCCTCTCCCTCCCCAAAACGGAGGGCAACCCTGCGTTAAAATTAACCAGGAGGCATTAACACATCTCCAGCGGTCCCAAGGATGCTCCCACCCTGCCTGCAAACCCAGGCTACCCCCACACGTGTGCCTAACGCCACGCAAGCTGCTGGCACCCAAGCTGTACCCGTGCCAGCAGCGCACCCAAGCACGTCCTTCCAGGGAGGGAATCCATCGCACGCCTAATTTCTTTTTTTTATTATTATTTTTTTAAAGCGACGTTTACAAAACAGGCAGCGCAACTTTCCGGCCGCGCTGTGCGTGCGCTGCTTTCCCCCCGCTGCCGCAGGAGGCTCCGCAGGGCACAGCCCCGGCTCGGAGCGCACGGAGAGCGCCGGCAACACCCAGGGCTCCGGAGCGACACCGGCACCACCTGCCCGGAGCCCCGCAGCCGCTCCTGCCGCTGCCGTTTCCTTCTCCCTCCTCCTCCTCCTCCTCCTCGCCCCTTCCCCTTTTCCCAGCCGGTTTGCCAGGAAAACATTTTTTTCCACCCCAATTTTGCAGCCAGTTTCCCCCCACCCCCTATTCACCGCGGAGAAGGGGATAAAAAAGCCCAACGCTCCCCTCCCTGCGGAAACCCCCGAAGCCTCGGCGACCCCCGGGGGGGACCCCACTCGGGACGGAGCCCACGCACCCCCCCGCCTCTCGAGCTCGTGTAACTTCCACTGCAACTTTCTCCCCCCCCCCCCTCCTCTCCAGAGCCCCGGCGGGGCGAGAGGCAGCGGGCTGCTGCCGGGGACTTCACGGGAACCCCCCCGGGCTCGGAGAAAAGGAAAGGAAAAAAGCCCGGGTGGGGGGGGAGAGGGGGTGGTAGGACCCAGAGCGACCCCCCCACACACACACGGAACCGAAAAGCGCCGGGATGGGCGCACGGAGCCGCCCCGGGGGGGCGCGGAACGGAGGAGAAGCCGCCACCGGGGGCCCCCCCCAGAACCTCGGGGCCCCCTCCCCAAAAGCCCGGCACCCCTCTCCCGGTGTGCCAAGCCCCCCCACGTCCCCGGTGCCCCCCTCCCGGTGCCGCTGTGCCTTACCAGCGGGCTGCGGCAGCCTCCCCGCCGCTGCCCGGGCATCTTGGAGGCGGCGGCGGCGGCGGCGGCGCGGGGGAGACGGCGGCGGGCGGGCGGCAGCGGAGCGCGGGGAGGCGGCGCCGAGCTCCCGAGCCCTCCCCCGGCCGCCGCCGCTGCCCCTCCCCGCCCCGCCGCAGGTGAGGCGGCTCCGGGTGGCACCGAGCCCCCTCCTCCCGTTACCGGCAGCTGGGAGCCCTGGGGGGACCCCTGGGGGGACCCCGCTCTGCGCTCTGTTGCGCGCAGGGATGGGGCTGCGGGGGTTGGGGAGGGGCTGGACGGGGGGCTGGGGGGCTCCAGGAGGGGCTTGGGGGGTTCCTGGGGGGCTTGGGGGGCTGCAGGGGGCTCCTGGGGGGCTGCGCTGCTGCGGGAGGGGTGCGGGTGTGGGTGCAAAGGGCAGGGAGGGAGGGGGGACGCGGCGATGCGATGCGTTCCCAGGGATGTGCCGCACGGGTTGGCTGCGTTCAAAGGCTGCCCAGAGCACCTCTTTAAAATAAATCGGAGGGAAAAGGCAGCCTGGTGCTCCTGCAAGTGGGCTAGGAGGGAGCTTTGGGCGTCAGAGCCATTTCGCCGCATATTTAGCCGTGAATCCTCCATTCTCCACCCTTTGCTGGCACACGCACGGGCTGGGCCCATGCAGCCAGCCCTCAGCACGCAGCACCCACCCTGCTGGGGCATTCCCGGGGAGGTCACTGCCAGGCTCGCAGCCCGACCCTCCTTTGCTGGGATGGGGAGAAATCAAACCCCCCTTTCCTGAGCTGAGGGCCACCAGCAGGTAGCCAGGGCCAGATTTAAGCTGTGCCCGCACCGAAGCGGCAAAAGGCAACGGCACAGATGTGCAACCCCCGAGCAGGCACATCAGGCTGCGGGAGAAATGAGGCCACGAGCAACCAGCAGATGGCTGGAGACCACAGGAAAGCTCCACTGCTGCTCTGCAGGTATCAGTGGGCCCCGCCAGCCCACAGCTCAGCAGCGGGAGTATTTATTTCTCCTTTTATTTATTTAAGCCCCCGATCGGTTTTCCTAAGAGCTCACCAGGAGACGAGGGCGCTGCTCCCAGCTCCATGCGCGCTGGGATCAGCCGGGCCCCTGGATGAAAGCTGGAGGTGTCAGAGGTGACCTTGGGCAAACAGCCGCCACCGCAGCCTTGTTGGGCATGTGCGTGTGTTCAAAACACAGGAGGGACGGGGTTCAAATGACACTTTAATTGAGCAAGCAGGGCAGCGGGAGGGTAGAGCTCTTTATGTTAATGCGCTAACCACTCCAGAGTGAGTCATGTTCATTAGGGGTGGGGAGAGCATCTCCATCCGCCCACAGAGGTGTTTTGGAGAGGTGAAGGAGCACTCAACACCCTTTCCAGGAGGACCCATGCGTTTCGATCAGGGGCTGGCTTGGTTTTTGCACCCTGCGTGCTGCTGGGACCAAGGGAATCACGACTGCACTGCCCAAGGCGTTAGCATCCATGTATCACAAAGGGGGAATGAAGGTGCTTAAATTGTGTCGCATGCCCGGGGAGCCTAGTGCATAACTAACAGTTATAAAGCAGAACTCTCCTCCTAAAATCTATTCTCACAGTGGAAAGCATGGGGGGAAAAAAAAATAATCATTTTAACTTCAGAATCCCTCTTCCAAAAAGCAGGCGGCTGTAGAGATGAGCAGGGATAGATGAATTCCCCTGGATTAATCTCTTCTCGTTTTCTTTTTATATTTTGATGACTTCATTTTTTTCTAGGTTTCCCTAGCACCTCCTTTATCCAGAGACGTTCGGTTCCTCCTCCTTGCTACTGCACAGGGAGCTGTGGCTCCGGTTCGGGGACGGGAAGTGGATGCTTTGCACCACCTCATGTTGAACCTTGGAATTTCACAGCCTCATCCAAATTTCTGCTCTCTCCCATGCTGAGCAAACCGCAGGCCTCACCGGCTTGCCCCAGAACAGGCTCTTCTGGCTCCACATCCACTTGCCCAACGCCTCTTCAGGAACTGGTGACGGTGTTGGGTGCTTCTTTAAGGCTTCATTGTTCAGCATCCTCCTGCAGAAGCACCCGCAGCAGGGCTGAGCTGTCCCCGCAGCACGCGAAACGCTGCTGGAGAGCACGGCGAACCGGTGAGCAGCCCCATCCTTCTGCCTCTCCTGCGAGCCCAGGAGGGGAAGCTCTCACCTGGAGAGAGTTTGGAGTCGTGGTTTGATAGGCAAGGAGCGTCTCACCGGGTTTTAAGCCATCTTCTGAGCATCTCCAATTTTTGAGGGGTGCGTTTGTGTCCTCACACCGCCCCATGGAGCTCTGCGGAGAGTCCTCCTCTCTCCTGTCCAGGAAGGGCTCTGCAGGAGGAAGGTGAGGTGTTGCAGGGGAGACCCCAGGCTGTTCTCCCAGCAAGAGGGCTGGACTCGTCCCCAGGTCTGCTTCCTTCTCCTCCTCCCCCGATTCAGCCACCCTCCCTCGCTCCCCAAAGGATGGGACAAGGCACGTCAGACACCCGTCCACTGGGAGCCAGCACGGGAGGAGACGTGCAGCTGGAGCTGGAAACCCTGCAACAACACCTGCAAGTGTTGCTCCTTGTTTCTGAAGCTCCTGGGTGTCTCAAGACCCTCCCCTTGCAGCAAGAAGCCCCAGTCCTTCGCCATTCCCAGACGGGGCGGGTGCGTTGCACAACGCAGCCCAGCCAGGGTGGCCAGCAGAGCCCACGTGCTGCCCTCTGTGCTTGCCGAGGAACCTGAAGCAACACCTCCTGGTGGAATAGGTTTTTAAAGGCCCCAGGGGGACTGCAGCAGCTGGGACCCCCCCACACACACCAAAACAAAGCGCGAGTTCACGAGTTCCCCAGTCTGTATTTCTTGTTTCACCACGCCTTCGCTTCCCCCACAGTGCCTCCAGGGTGAAACTACTCAGCTGGCTGAATGGGTTCGGCTGTTTTCCCCACTCTAGCTTACAGGAGCTCCCAGTATGACCATCAAACCCAGCAGCCACCCCAGTGCTGGCTGGCACAAGGGCGACTGCCACCCCCCAGCTCCAGGAGGAGCCTCTGCTGCTCCTGTGCCATCAGCTCCTTACCCACCCAGAGCACAGAATGGCTTCACGTGGCGATTTGGCAGGGTTTTTTTCCCCCTTGCAGTTGGTTTCTAAGCCTAGAAAATGGCTTGTGGAACCTACATGGGGGCTCATCAAGATATGGAGCTGGGTGCCCAAAAGGGCCCCTGCTGCTTGCACGTCACCACAACCACCCCCTGCTGCCCTCCCCAATCCTGCAGGGCTCCCTCGCCTCCTGCCCTGCTGGGTTTTCACCCCTGCAGCCATTTCGAGTGCAACACTTCACCGGGGCGTAAGAAAAACCCAGCTGGAGAAACCCTCCTTTTGGAGAGCAAAGAGAATTATCGCATGGAAACCCTGCCGAAGGGTCCCAGGGAAGGAAACGCCCAGGAGCACGTCGTTAAAGAGCATCTCGCCATGCACATGCACGAGGGGACTTCATGTAGGGTGGAAAGCTTCGTTTCAAGCTGATTCTTGCAGCACTGGGAACGTGTCTTTGAAAACAGTGGTCAGCCAAGCCCTGAGCCAACATTCACACCGAGCGAAGAGGTGGAGGAGGGAGCTGGGTGAGCACAGCCCTCTTGCTGTGGCGCAAAGCAGCTGTAAGGGCTCCTAGCTGCAGGGAGGAGTCCTACGAGCTCTCCATCAGCATCCTGGCAGCGAAAAAATGCCAGTGACTGCCAGCTGCAGGGCATTTAAGGGTTGGTAATTAGCCACAACAGGAGATGAGCAGTTCTCAGGCCGGGAGCCCCTCTGCAGCCAGCCAGCAGGCTCCACACAGCGCCTGGAGCGAGGTTCTCCGTGGTGCCAGAGCCACCTGAGCCACAGCTGGTTTCACTGCTTAACCTCACCTCCTCCGTGCCAGTCCTTCGTGAACCTCCTGGCTGTGCTCACCGAGGACATGAGTCCCCTGCCCTGAACCTGCAGATCCACCCCACGTGTGATGTTAATGTTGGTGCCCGAGCCGAATCTGTGCCATCCAGCCCCCAGACCACCAGCTTTGCGCCCAGGGAGATGTCGCATGGGCCAAAGCCAACGGATTCAGCAGGAAATAAAACCAGAGCAAGGGCACGTGAGATGTTCCTGGCGTCGACCCCCTGGGACATGCACAAGCCTCAGCAGAGGCAGCGAGGGAAGGGAAGGGAAGGGCACGTGCTGCACCTGCGCTCCCCAGCTCCACGCCAAGCACAGCCTCAACTTCCACCGTGCGGTTCCTGCAGCACACGAAACTGTCTTTTAGGATGCTCCAGGGTAATCGCTACGCCTCCCAAAAGAGAAACTGGCTCGCAGCAGCCACCACAGCCCCACAAGACCTACCCTGACCCTATAATCCTGCAGGAAACATTCCCACGCTTCCCAGTTCACCCTACACCCTCTGGGAGCAGCCCTTCCAGGTTCACTTGCATCTCCCACTGGTTTCAGCCTCACGGATCAGCAGGTAGAACGTACCCAGGAATTAAACACAGTGCACATCCATTTAGCAAGACCGACGTCAGGCTTATAATCAAAATAAAACCAGTAACCTCAGCCCAGCCTGCTCAAAAACCTAAGTTTCCCCCCTCATCTGCACACAGCAGACCTCAAAGACCTCTCACCTTCCCCAAAACCAAGGAGCCAGGGCTGAGATTTGGCAGGGCCATGTCTGCACGGGGCTACCCTGGTGCTGCCCACCCCAGGAGCTATGGGAGCACGGTGATACCGTTGTTAGAGGTGGGCTGACCTTCTCCCAGCAGGGAGAAGACCACCAGAGGGATGGCAGCTGGTGAGCGCGCCGAGGTGGAGGTCCCCTCTGCGCACCCAGGGGTGCCGCAAGCAGAAAGCCTGATCCTGGCAGGAGGAGCCCCCAGGTGTTGCCCGGCTCTCCTGGGGTGGCAGCCCCCATCCAGCCTCCCCCAGGACCACCCAGTCCGACGCACGCCCTGACCCAGCAGGTCTGACTGGGAGCACTGGTGCGGGGTGCTTGGGGAACTGGGTGGCCGCGTGCCGGCTTTTTAATTAAAGCGGTGCTGAATCTTAATGGGGAAGGAATACCTGGAGGAGGAGGAGGAGGAGGAGGAGGAGGAGGAGGAGGAGGAGGGCTGTGACGCTGTGCATGGGAGCGAGTCCCGTGCGCAGCCCCATGGTGAGGTGGCAGCTCTGGGCGAGCCGTACCCCGCTTCTGGGGGATCTGGGGAGTTCCCCAGTCACCGTGGCTGCTTTTCCACGCATCCTGCAGTACGAGAGACTCCTCAGGTACTCTAGAGCTGTTGCATTTATAGGTGATACAGGTAATGAACAAGCTGGAATAATTAATGATAACCACTGTGCTTATAAAGCTGATTTCATCTGCCTGTATTTTTTTTTTAAGGCACTGTTTGAGCGCATACTTCACCCTCTGGATCATATGTGATAAGCAACACGCTCCACATACATTTCAGGAAGCTTCGTTAGGATGCGCTTTTGTGGAAACCTCAGGGGACCCATTGCTCCTACAACCGAGTTTGTGATTAGGATGCTTTGCCCCTACCCCACACCTCGTGTTTAACGCTGCCATCCCATTCTCCAGGCACTTGAAAGAAAAGATCTGATGAAAAAGAAGAGACGGGAGCTTGAAGAAGAGACAGGAGCTGCGGGCACGGTGAGGGTAAAGCAAAAGAGCATCCTGGACAAGAGCTGTAACTGCACGGAGAGGCTCAAAAGCAGGCACAAGGCTCCAAAATCCCAGCTGAAGCTGAGCTGAGAGCCCACAAAAACCTGCGTGGGGAGCCGAAATGGGATGGGAACAGCTTCTTTAATCTAGTACAGGTCTAGCAGGAGGCAGGAGCTGGAAGTTTCACCCAGAAATTCAGATGAGCAACACGGCGCACACTGCTAATTACGAGGGTGATTAACTATTCAAACAATTAACCGAGGGATGGTGTGGGATCTGTCAGCAGGGGGTTGAAAGCCGGCCAGATCGCTCTCCTGCGGGATCTTTTCCAGCTCCGCAGGACCCAACGCAGAACCGAGCCCAGGGAAGGGCTGATGGTCCCTTCAGCCAACAGGGCAAAACCCAAATATTTTCCATTTGGCTGGAGATAAAAGGGGAAAACGTCACACCGAAGACCTCTGAAGCGTTGCTGCTGGGGTGGTTTATCTCCTTCTTCTCCTGAGAGGCTCCTGCTAGGCTAAACGGGGTGCAGCTCTTTGGGGCCACGACTCTCCAGCTGGCACCACGCTCTGGCCCTTGCCAGAGTCCCGTGATTTTTAGGAACCCTTCCCTAAGCGGCCCCGTTGTTCCTCGCGGGCTGTGGAGCTGCTCTGCTGCTCACGAGCCCCGCCACCTGAAAAGTTGCTCCCGCCCTCATGCAGCTCGTTATCGTAATTGCGCCTCGCTGGGAGAAGCTACGTGCTCCGTAACGGGCACATCCATTTTAATGGATTCTGCTTCGCTGCTGAGAATAAACAGCCACAAATCACGCTCTACAAGGACCTTTACAGGGCCCTTCTGCTCCAGGTATATTTTTTTCACTTTGTCAATGAACGAGCGCTTCTAAATACCCGTCAGCCCGCCAAGATTTACCGTGCGGGAAGCACGCGGCTGAACAGAGGGAGGGAGAAAAATCTTTATTTTCAATTTATTTTCTTATTGGCGAAAACGCTCCCTCGCCGCACGGTGTAACAGCTCCCCACAGCAGCCTGTACCTGGATGTGGCCCTTGCGGATGCTGCAGTGCCTTGAGCTCGCTCAGCTCCGCAGGCAGGACTCTGCTGCAGAGGGTCTGAGCCTCAGCCCCGTGGTGAAGACAGCGGGGACAGGGCAGAGGGACCACCCAAACCCTTTCCTGCAGCTCCCTGCCCCGGGATCAGCTCCACCTGGGTTCCTACTCCATGCTCCTGTTATCTTGGGGTGGCATCGGGCGGTGCCAAGCCCTTCCCTGCCCCGTGGCAGCAGTGGGGCTGGGAACCAGCCCCGTCCCTCCCTGCTCCCGGCTGGAGGCGCAGGGCTCCCCGCACGCCCAGCCTGCTCCGGCAGCATCGCTGCCGCCTGAGTCACCCCCGTGCGAGACCGACCGAGGGCAGCCCGTCCACCACCGCCGTCCCCCTGGGTTCGGTGCGCTTGCCTTTGGTTGCGTTTTGCGTTTTTTTAATATTCGTCCAATAACTTCTGCAGATAATGACGGGTTTGGTGCTCGCTTCTTAGCGCCAGGCTGTAATTATTGGGGATCCAGATGATTTGGCGCATTTGCCATGTGGTGGTGAGTAGGTCAGGGGAGCGCAAGGCTCACAATTAGGATTTTGAAGTGTCTTTTCCTGGGAAATTCTGCAACGTGTCCTTTAAAAAGGCGCAAAAGCTTTGCTCTGTGTTTTCCAGGTACGCGAGATGATCCAGGCGATGCTCCCCACGTGCAGGGGGAGGAAGATGCTGTGATGCTGGTTCTGGCCTTTTGGCAGCAATTGCAAGAGGAGCAGTTTGTCTCTTGCACGTGCTGGCAGAAGAGGGACTTTTTCTCCCCCTGTACCTGCAGAACCAGCGCAGCCTTTGAAGCTCTGCCTTATCTTCCTTCTCTGCGCCCTGTGGGGAGGCGGGCGTCCCACGCATCCCAGACCAAAGGTTGTTTTGGGGGGGGGGATGGATAGCCCGCTGCAGCGTGGGGCGAGCTCGGCTTTGCTCCAGCACATCCCAGACCCAGAAACCGGCCTCACCCTGCAGCCCACAGGGAGTTTCGCTGCCTGGAAGCCACACGCACCACCTTCCCTCTCGACACCTGGAGCCGGTTGCGCACGGGGGAAAATGCGGGGCTTTGGGAGCCCCCAGCGGCTCCACAAGCGGCCGTGGCTCTGTTCTGCCTTAACTGAGCACTCGTGCTCCCGAAGGACTTCTGAACCTCCGGGAGTGATGCAGAGCAGCCCACACATCCCGCTGTGGGAGGTGACTTCGGTGTCTCCGCCAGGGCTCAGTGCCCTGCAGCAGCAACATCCTCCTTCCCTCTGGCACAGGATGCTCTGCAGCCGCCTGCCTAGGAGGCACCACAGCCATCGCTCTGCCTCTCTGCTTCCTTTCACTCGTGTAGGTGCTCGGCAAGGAGACTTGGCCCATTTGGCCACCTGGGGCAGTTAAAATGCTCTGGCCAAAGTTCGCAGCATGCTGGAGGGCACCCGTGGGACGCCCCCAAGGAAACCCAGCACGTGAGCAATGCTGCAAGAACACTGTAAGCCCAGCTGCTGGCAGCGAGAACCTCCACTTTAGGGCACTTTTTGAAAACAGAGTGAAGAACCACTGCTGAGAGCTCATTGTAACCACCTGTGTGCCCAGAAATACTTGGGCAGGGGGTGTCCTTCCCCATGCTGCCCGAGCTACCCGAGGGACACAGGTCCTGGTTGTCATCTGCTGGCCCCATGGCCAGGTCCTGCTGCATCCCAAATAAAACCACAGCCCCGTGCATCTCTGCGCAGGAGAGGAGCCTGCACCCAGAGCAGTGAGGCCGGCCCAGCTCTGCCCCACCACCATCTGTGGGAGCTTCGTTACCAACTTAAAGGAGAGCAAAGTGAGGCCAACACCGAAAAGCACTTGAGCACTCCATCCATAAAAGGCTTCGGGCTCCTTCAGGGTGAAACACGAGCTGGAGTCATTAATAATCATCAGCACTTTCCATGCCAATTATGTGCAGCCCGTGGCTTCCTGGCACACTGCAGCGGGGCTGGCAGCCCGGCGTGCTGGCGCCTGCTAGAAGCACTCCCTGATGCAGGGTGCAGCTTCCAGTTTTTCACTGAAAATCCCCATTTGCAAGCGGGCGCAACCTTGGAGGGGGAATCGCTCTTCTACCCGCGCTTCACAGTGCCGGAGCATCCTGCTTTCAGCTTTTTATCCAAATTTCTGATTTTAGGCACATCCTAACCAGCCACAGTGGACGCACACACGCACGCACCTCCAGCTGCCTGGACGTGGTGGGGAGTGCCCCAAATTAGCCAACACAGGGTTTGCTCCTTACTTCCAGCGCTCAAACACACCGTCCGGAGCCGAGCGCGCTGGGAGTGGTTTGAACCTCGAGCCAGACGGCCAGACGCCAGAGGGCAACGTGATCGGGCAGGCTATTAATGACAGACCGTGAGCACTAATTAATTTGTTCGTGTGTGCAGCGAGTGCCTCTGGAGCTCAGCTGCGCACCCGTAGCGCCGTGAGCTGCTCCTCTGGGATGCTCTGACACGAGGTCTGTCCCCAGACCAGTGCCCTAAGGCGCAGGAGGCTCCAGGCTGATTTTTTTCAAGTTTCACAGTTTTCAGTTGCCTTTTAAGCAAAACCCATGAACTATAAGCCCAACTGCAATTTGGAGAGGCGTCACTGCCCATCGTGCACCCCCCGTGCTGGCTGTGCAGGAGATCCACAGGAAGGGAAAGGCACGAGCTGGAGTGGGGCAGATGCCTTCACCCTGACCAAGACCCCACCAACCTTGAGCACTGCACATCAGAAACACCACCACAGCTGAGTTTTGACCACGAACGAGATAAAATAGTTTACCCGTCTCAGCGAAGAGCTGGTGAGAAGGAAGGACAGAAGAGCCAGGAAGCATCTGCAGGGGTCAGGTCCTGTCCGTGCCCCGCTGTCCCCTTCCAGAGTGGCTGCCAGCCCCTCGGTGTCCCAATGCTGGGTGTCTGAGCGGGCAGTGCCATCAAGGAGACAAACCTGTCAAGAAATGAAGCAGGAGCGCTGCCAGCTTGCTCACCTCCTCAGGGAACCCTCCATTAGCAGCTCTGAGAGACCAGTGTCATTTAGGCTTTTGCCCCATCGATTTTTCCCTCTTTGGGAAAGAGCTGAGGTGTTCCCAGGCTGGAATCCCTGCACAGATCTCCTTCCCACTCCTCAGTTTTAAGTCTTATCTCAACCAGTTCCTCCCTGCTTTATACATGGAGCCTCGTCTCATTTTGATTTTTTCAAATTGTATTTATGGTTTCCTAATTAGGGGAAGAGTCATTTCAGAGATGGAAAAACAGATCCAGAGCAGGGGAAGCTGGTGTCCCGGGGGTGCGCACAGTGGGTGAATTCATTAGACATGTAGACATGAGTGCCTGGAGTGAAATCCTCCATACTGCACCGCCCCTCCCGAACCAGGCACTCGAACTTAACAAAATTATCCTTACTGTTCTGGATCTGCAAATCATCAGGTTTTGGATTAATTGGAGGAGCTTCTTGTCTGCACAGAGCCCGTCCCCAGATGGTCTGCGCCAGTCCAGTCCGATCAGGTGCCTGCACGCAGATAAATGCCAAGCCCTTTTCAGGCTAGATAGAAGGGGGAAAAAAAAATAAGATGCAACGCTGGGAATAAACCTTTGCTTGGGCTGAGATTTTGAGGAGCAACTCGAGGGCAGGAAGATTTAATTTCTGTTGCGAGGTCTGCAAAATTTGGCAGCGAGGACGAGGGACACGTCTGTGTGAGCAGTGGGCAGGGAGCTGCTGCTCCTGACCACCCTCCAGTTTTATTCCTTGTCCTCGTGCAAACCCAGTTAGGTCTGCAGTACCAGGAAGGATAAATAGAAGCACTTATTGGTTTTATTGGCACTGGGCATCACTGCATAAAGCTGCACTGCATCTTCTCTCCATCCAGGGCTCCAGGAAAGCTCTTGGAAACGCCTGCGTGCTGCTGGAGCCGTATTTCTTCAGGGACTGGGAGGTCTCAGGAGGAGACAAGAGATGTGCACAGCGGCTGGGAACTGTAGCACAGGCTTGGGGCTGGGCTCTGCTTCCAGAGACAGAAAGGAGACAGGTCTGCTGGCATTGGTGACACCCAGTATCACCTTTTCCCTTAAAACCGCAGGGCACCCAAGGGCGCAGGAGCAGATGAGCGCGTGGAGAACCCCCACAATGATCTACAGCAGATTTGGGTGCTGCCGGGTGACTTCCAGCAAATCACACCGCCTGCAAACACTTCAGTTCCCCGGCTGTAAAACAAGCACAATAATGTTTAGGTACCTTGTAAAACTCCTCATCCACGGGGAAGGAAGTGCGAGGCAGCAGCACTTCCCCAGCCCCTCGTTAACGGCTGGATATATTTCTCCTTTACAACACGTGCTCGCCCGCACTCCGCGCTTGGATTCCCAAAAGACACCTTACAAACATTAACTCCGGCCCTCGTTTACTTCCCTTTCAGATACGAAAGCCCCAAAACGTTTCCAGAGCATTCTGTATCGCACAGTATTTTTGCTTAATGCTCATCATCTGAAGGGTGGGGGCAAGCAGGGCTTTGGGGACCTGCAGCACTGGGCGATGCTGTCTGCAAAAGGCACACTGGCAGCAGGACTGGCTGCGTGGGGCTGAATCCCCTCTGGATCCCCAGGACTGGCGTGGTTCAGGAGGAAAATACAACACAAGGAGGATTGTTTCACTTCTCCTGAGCTGCTGGCATACCTGCCCGGTGTTTCCCAGGCAGGATAGGGGTCCCCAGCCTGGCACAAACCCCCTCCCTGCTCCCAGCACAGTCCCAGGGTGCTGCAACGGAGCCTCCTGGAAGCAGCATCATTAACCTGCCTGCCACTGCAGCCAGCAACCAAGCCCCAAGGCAAACCGGATTCATCACCTCGCCTTGTCTCTGGCTGCTGACAGTCCCCATCCTGTGCCCTATGTCCCTAACCAGGCACCATTTGGCTGAGTGGTGCTGGTATGAGTCCTGCTGGGGATTTGGGAGCTGCTCGGCCTTTTTGGGTTAGAAGCAGCCTTATTTGGGGGCACGGTGCAGAGGGGAGGCATCTGGGGGGTCCAACCCCCCTCTGACATGTGCCTGGAGTCTGGCCCCACGTCCCCCCAGTGGGCTGCTACCTAGGGACCATCCCCGCAGAGACGGGAAGGAGGAGGAGCAGAAAGGGAGCTGAGCGAGAACGAAAGGGAGACACCAGCATCTGCTCCTCGTTCTGGGAGCCTGTGCCAGCAGCAGAGGCTCGGCGGTGGTCTCGCTCCCCAGCGGAGCTGCAGGCTCTGCACGGGGCAAGGAGCAGGGCTGGCACGTGTCTGCACGGCTGCTGCTCACCGATTTCAGTGCCAGGGAGATGACTGAAAACCCAAAGGTTGAAAACCCAAAGATTGAAAACCCAAAGGTTTTCAATCTGTCAGGTTTATCAGCCCCACTCTCTTCCTCGGCCCTGACCCCCAGCTCTTCCTGGTAAATCAATCCCCCAGGAGAGGACAGAGCTTCCTGAGGTCTTCTGCTCTGTGTCCCAGCAGGATGGAGCCCAGGAGGTGCTTGTGCCCGGTGCCCTGCTCGCCCCTGTTCCTCCACCTCCACCGCACACACCTGCATCTCCTCGCTCCCTTTGCCAGCTCCTTTCAGCGCTGGATGCTGAAGCCTCCAGGATGCCGTGGTCTCCTTCATTCAATTGATGCTCCCGGTTGCACAAAACAGCCCGAGGGCTCAGCAGGCTCATACCAGCCCCTGGAGATGCAGCTGGCCCTGGCCTTGCACAGCAAAGCCTCTGAAGCAGGGGAGAGGGCTGGGTGGGATGAGCAGAGGCTGATCAGGAAGGCAGAAGCACGGCAAGCCAGCACAGCTGCCCCACCAGCTGGGTGATGAGAGTTGATTCATTTCATTTTATTATCCCTGCTGTGGCCTCAGCTGAGGCTTCCCCTCGCTTCTCACGCATGCTACAGGCTCCTGGGCTTGGAGCAGCCCATGCAGCATCTGGCTGGCCCTGCTCTGTTTGTGTCCTGCCCCAAATCTCCCCGTTCCCCATCAGGGATCACCTGTGGCTACGCGGCTCCTGCAAGATGAGCTCCTGCAGGCTTTCTGCATGGCCCCTGGGTCTTTTGGGTTCAAATCTCCTTGCTGGAAAATCGCCAGTTTGAAAAAAAAAGAAAAAAAAAAAAGGCCAAGCCCGTCTGCAGGAAAAGGTTGACTTCAACTCAGTTTCAGAAGAAAAAAAAAATGATGACAAGTTCTAAATGGCTCCAAAGCACCGTGGAATGCTTCAGACAGACAAATGTAGGTGGTTCAGGCTGAGTTCTTCCTGGGCAATCAGCGATGGGGAAAGCTCGTGAAGCTTTCCACCCTGCTTCAAGAGAGAAAAATGCTTGAGGGAAGGTTGCTGCAGAGGAGGAATGGTGACTCCTGTCCAGGGCTGCTCCCAGGCTAACCTCGTGCTCCCCCCATGGCAGGGCAGCCCCTGAGAGCAGTGTCAGCATGGCTTGGGTGATGGATCCGAGCTTGTCAGCTCCCTCATCCACCAAGTGCTGGCAATCTGGACACATGCAGATGGTAATTATTTGGGGCAAGGACTTAGAAGAGGCTTCCAACATCGCTTCTCAGAGGTGTCTAACCCCCTTTTACCTGCCATCCCTGCACCAGGCAGTGATAAAGCCCTTAATGCCAGAGGTGAGCACCAGGTGTGGGGGTTTCTGCCCTGTGTGGGACAGGGGAAGTGGCATTTCTGCTTGAGCAAAGCCTTTCCTTTCAGCAGCACTGCCTGGCCGGTAGCAGGGGATGGGACGTGGAGCAGGTCCCGCAGCCAGCACTGAGCTCCTCAAAAGGTTCCCACAGGGCCTGGAGAGGACAGAGCGAAAAACGGAGCCATCAAAGCAGGAAATGCCAAGCCCACCGAGCCCTCAACCTTTTCACTCTGGATTAATGTGATGGTGCCCTCGAGGGATGGGCATCCCAGCTCAGCCTGCTGCAGTTACACACTGTGGGTCTGCGGTCAGCAGCCTTCAGCTGCGCCTCTGCACGGCTTTACCAAAGCAGTGCCCCCCCAGAGGTCCAGGAGGGGCTGGGCTGGGACATTCCCCTGCTTTCCAATGGGGCACAGCTCTGAGGGATGCTGGACCCTCGCAAAAGTCTCCTTCCTGAGCCCTTTCCTCCCACAGGGGTGACAGGACTGACGTAGGTCCCCACTGGGCTGGTGCGCACCCAGGTTTCTCCTGGAGATGCTGATGACCATGGCAAACTGCCGCCACACAAGGTTCCGTCACCTCCACGTTGCTGAAAACCTCGCTGTTGGGAAGCACCTCGTGGTGGCCGAGAGGATGGATCTCCCAGGACAAGGCTCTGCAGACCCCAGGACACGGAGCAGAGCTCCCCAAAGCCCCGGCGCCCTGAGCCTGCATGGTCGGGATCAGTCATCCCTGGTGGTGGAAGGAAACCTGGGAGAGCACTGTTGTAACACGCCCTTGGGCTGTGGGTGGGGATGGGGAGACTTTCACGAATTCTTTGCACTTCCCAAATTACTGTTGGCCTGGCTTCCCCCCTTTCCCTGGCCCGTGTTTCACGCCCTGCGTGCTCGCTCTTCGCTGCCCAGGGAGCAATTACGTTTCCCACACTCCTGGGTGGGGATGCGAGGCAGTGCCCAAGCTTTAATAAGAACCTGGAGCACCAAAGCAGGAGCTGCTCCTGCCTACAAGCGCCTGCCAGACGGGCTCCGCCAGCCTTGGCATGTTCTGCACGTGGCAGGAGGATCAGAGACCTCCGTGCTCCGGGTCCACGTTGCCAGCTCCAGAGCCTGAGGAAAACCCCCGAGCAAGCTTGTTCAGGGGGAAAACCCAGGATGGACCCCTGAAACATCACTCCTGGTGGCAGTGGGGATTGGCACAGCCTTTCCAGCCTTGCAACAGCCCTTCTGGTGCCACCCCGTGTGAGATGGCCCCATGATGGTCTGCTAAGCCTGGGGACAAGAGGCAGCAAGCTGGGAGCCTCTGCACCAAGGAGGCAGGAGGATGGGTCAGGGGAGGTGGCTCCTGGTGGCACAGGGCAGGTGGCACCTGTGGCTGTGGTGGCTGCGTCGCTGTGGAGCTTCACCACCTGGAACCGGCGTGTGCTGGAGCCGTTTTGTCCCCGCGCATCTTTATTTCTGGGCTGTCTGTATCTGGGGGCGGCGAGGGAGCTGGGTTTCTAATGAATGTGAAATTCTCCCTCTTGCTGCAGCCCTTTGCCAGGGACCATGTTATTTCATGTATCTAGGTCAAGCGTATTCCTCCTTTCGTAGCGTGTCGCAGGGGACGCTGCCCTTCCCTGCCATCCAGACACGCTCGGGGTTTTGTCATCCCTTTCCAGGATGATTGCCAACGCTGGCTATGGAGAGCTTGCTTCCCAAAGCAGGCTCCTCTTCACTCTCACGTTGGGAGTTTCGTGCAGCGTCCTTGGGCTCAAACCTTCGAGCTGAAGGCAGGAGCAAGGCGAAAGAGAGGCCAAAGGCGCCCACGAGCAGCTCGCCATGGGGGGCTGTCTTCTCGAGGCCACCCTGCTGCAGAACCAACAGGTCCCAGTCCGTCCCCATCCTCTCTGGCAGCCCTGAACTTGTTGTTTGTCACGAGGAGGGGACCGACAGCTTTCCTAGCCCCTCTGCTGGCTGCTGGTAAGCCTCTCCCAGCACAGCTTGTTTGCAGAAGCGAGGGGAGGTTTGGAGTGCAATAACCTTCCTCATCAACATGCTGTTCCTCTCGCCTGCTCATGCGGCTTGTTATGGGGAGGCTAAAAATAGAGCGGTGAGCTGGCTTGCGTTTCGCACGGAGAAATTAAAAGAAAATGTTGGGTTGCGCTTTCATGGAGAAGCGTTCCCAAATGTTCTCGTTTCTGTGTCACAGACTATAAATAGCGGCTGGTCTTCAGAAGGGACCATCCGGGAAGATGTCTGGGGCAGGTGGCGTGGGCCTGAGCCCTGCTGGTGCAGATGGCTGCTTCTGGCCACCTTGCCACCGATGCTCGGGAGCTGCTGTTGCTGCTGGGACGGGCTCAGCCTTGGCTTCAGCGCCTTTCGTAGTGAGATCTCTGCACAGCAAAATAGGAGAGGTGCTGGGACCTGGCGCTGCCCATCCGTGAGCATTGGGAGGTGAAGACAGCTGCTACCGACAGCAGCTGTGCTACCAACGAGGAGCAAGAAAACAACAGCTCCTGGGTAGATGTGCCCTGATTTCCCCAGCTTGCTAGCTGATTCCCTCCATGGGGTGTGAAAATATCTGTAAAAGCAGGTTTTGGCACCTCAAGCCATGGCAGCTTGTCACTGGGGGCACCCAGCCACTTGTCACACACCTTGCCCTTTTGGTGACACCTTCGTGCATCCGACGGGTTCGAGCAAACCCTGATGGAAAGCTCTGAAGCTGCTGGTTTTCCTTTGGCTGTCACTGAATAGGAAGGGCGGTGCAGACCCCAGCAAGGCGTGACGGACCGAGCCCCCGCTGCGGCCAGCACAAAGGCGAAGGGTTTGCAAAACGCCCACCAGCAGAAGTGCTGATATAGCGAGAACATGCTTTCCCCGAACAGTTGAGAATAATGACCAAATTGCCCCAAATCAAAGCTGGCAATTTGCAAACAGAATTGCCGTCTGAATTCCTCACATGAGTCACTGGCCCGGACCAGCTTGCCGGGTGCTAATCCTCTTATTGCACCAGAACCAAAGGCAGCTCAGGGAAACTTTCTCCTTTCAAAGGCCGGTGTGAAGATGCCACAGATGCCTGCTGTTCACTTTCCACAGCACACTCCTACGCTTGTCTCAATTGCTCATCCCTATTGAGACGGGAGCACCTCTCCCACTCCTACAGGCACCGGGTCTCCCACCTGAAGCTCTCACCATCGCCGACTGCCTTGGTGCACAGCTTCATCTCACGTGGAGCCGCCGGCTGACACCCTCCAGGTGCTGCTGCTCACCCCAAATGTCGGGATCCCAACACGTCCTGCCCTCAGGGAGCTTCGTGGCTGACGTGAGAGCTGTGCCGTGCCGAGCGGGGAGGTGCTTTAGGGCTCACGTGCCTCGTTAGGAAACGACGGGCAAGAAGTTCGTGGTGATAAGGCACTTCCAAGAGCAGCCCGAGTCCTCAGCCAGGAGTGTGGGTGGGCATGGATTTGGCTTGCTCTAATTGCCTTCTCACCCTGCCGGCCCCCAGCACCGAGGCGTTTGCTCTTTAATGAGGAGAATTCATTAAAGCATTAAAGTGGGTTCAGCAGCTAATTGCTGGGGAGAGCGCGATGAGTAAGGGGAGGCTCTTTCATCCCTGGGTAGAGGAGCAGTGCTTTGAAACTTCTTCCCCTTAATGAGGGGCACCCAGAGCCGCGTGCTTTGGGCTCTGCAGCCATGCTGGGGATGTCGGGGAGAGCACCCATCCTTCCCCAGGATGCCCACGCAGTGCCAGGGTACAGCTCCATGGTGGCTTCAACATGTCCAGGTGTTCACTTGGTGGCTGTGGCGCACCCATGGCCCGGAGAGCTGCCTCCAGGCGATCTGGTGAGCCCAGATTCCTGGGCACAGGGACAGCATCTGCCAGCCGCAGGTGACCGCGAGCAGGAGGCACGAAAGCCACAAGCAAGAGGCACAAAAACCTCCATGCGAGTCCGCAGCATGCTTGCAGCACGGCTGATGCTCCTGGGAAGCACGAGACCTGCTCCACATGGCCCGCACGTCGCAGCGCTTGATGCTTGGAGAACCTGAGGGCACCTGAGTCTTCAGACAATGCCCCAGGGCACCTTTGTCTGCACAGGTGCTCCTCCAACCTGTTCTCGAGGGCCTGCAGCGTGGCAATGTCCTGGCCGCCAGCCATTTGCTCCAGGGCTTCGTTGCTCTTGCCTCACGCAGCTTTTCGTAATGCCTGACCTGAATCCCAGGCCTCCCATTCCGAGTCCCACGGCCCTACCGAGGAGCGCTGCTGCCTCCTGGATGCATCCGAAGCCATCTCCTTTATCCCCGAGGTCACCGGGCTGTGCTCAGAGGAGGGTGAATTTTAGCAAAAGCTCAGGGCACCTGCTGGAAGCTTTGCCCATGAGATGGCACCACCTGGATTTGCTCTCTCCACACGCCGGCTGCCATGCTCCTATTTTTACTTCTCCCAGTGTGATCCAGCACTAGATGTGGCTGTCCCGCTGCTGGCTCCGGACCAGCCCTGCCCTTCGTCTTGGTTCCTATCTTCTGACTTCTGCTTTACGTGCCCAGCGATCCCCACTGAGCTGTGCCAAAGCTTTTCAGTCCAAGCAAACTCTGGACCTCAATCAGCTGTCCCCGATGTTCCCACCCTGCGCACTCGAGGCAGTTTTTATTTGGAAGATGCCCCTGGAGGTGTGCTGGGGATCAGGCTGGGCCCTTGTGTTCAGTAAGCTCCGCAGGACGCTCCGTGACACGTTACTGATGTGACAGAGCTGGCCAATGCAGCCGCCACACAAGTGCACGAATTTATAAGTCGAAAAGCCCCAGGGGAGTTAAAAAAAAAAAAAAAACTTATTACAAAATTATCTCCTAACATCTCCCTCCAGCCCCGAAGTCTCCCAGCAGCTCTGCTTTGCGCTGTGAACTAATAGCCTGGTGTTTTTCATCCTACAGCTGAACCAGTTTGGAGTCGGAGCATCATCAAAAAAGTGTCTGAAATAATTATGTCTGCGAGCGCGGAGCTGGGCTTCGTGGGCCGCGTCCTGGGGAAGCAGCAGCTTAGCCAGGCCTCTTCTGAGTCACGCCAGAGATCACCCCGAGGTCGTCTAGGATCTCGTCCCAGCTCTGGGAAAAGCTCCTTGTGGGATCTGGCCGCCCCGCCAACACCTCCGGACAGCGCGAGGGAAACATTTCGCTTTGGCGATCTCGTTTGGTTAAACTTTGCAATCGTGCTTCACCGAACGTGCTGCTGGGGCCGGGGGCCTTCTGCCTGTCCCGTGTCCCTGCCCCGAGGCTTCTGCCACTTCCAGGAGAGCCCGGGGGACGCAGCCCGATTTGGGGCTGGTCAATGCAGACCAAGCGTTAACCAGACCTCATTTTCTGCCCAAGAATAATTGGGCAGAGAATTCACACACACAAGTGCACAAGGAGGCAGGGCGGGGGAACGTCTCGCACCACGCCGCGTGCCAACGGCCAGGAGCAACCTCTGGTGGCGTTTATTAAGACCTCTCCAGCAATTAACCCCCCCACACTTTTATTATTACTTTTTTTCACAGTTTATGTAGTCACTCCGCGAAAGTGGCAGAGAAAAACAGGAAGAGAAGTTCCCAGCTTTTCTTTTTCTTTTTTTTTTTCTTCCCCAAATTTTACCGATTCTGGGCACATGGCCAAAAAGTAATAAAAATCTGTTATGTTTAGAAACATATAAATAACAGCAGCTCGGTGTTGCGAGAGCTACAAATAAAGCGAGTTGGAAGTTCTTGGCTTTATTAACATCTGAAGGGGATAACGGGAGTTTTACGGTGTCTAATTGAATTAAACACAGTGCGTTCCAATTTGGGGATATAAAATTTGCAATCATGAGGTATAATTAAATACCTTTCTGGCACTGCCGTTGTTTCTTTCTCTACAGGCTAAAAATAAAAAAATAAAAGCAGGTGTTTTGTTTTGTGTTTTTGTGTGTGTTTTTGTTTTGCTTTCTCCTGCAAGATGTGAATTCCTGCCCATCGCTAAAGGGGTGCAGCACGGGACAGGGCTGGTCGCGCCTCCGTGATGTGCAGCATCGCTGGGGTGCACAAAGAAAAGGGGTCCCCAACCTGGCACCACCTGCCTGCTTTCTGGAGCACACCGAGCCTGCGTTCCCCCTCTGCTGCTGATTGGGAAAGGATCAGGCTTTTAATTGCGTCGAGTTTTTAATTCCTCTCCTCTCCTCTCCTCTCCTCTCCTCTCCTCTCCTCTCCTCTCCTCTCCTCTCCTCTCCTCTCCTCTCCTCTCCTCTCCTCTCCTCTCCTCTCCTCTCCTCTCCTCTCCTCCTCTCCTCTCCTCTCCTCTCCTCTCCTCTCCTCTCCTCTCCTCTCCTCTCCTCTCCTCTCCTCTCCTTCCACTCTCGGTGGTGCTGGTCCCAAACCTGCAAATGTACCGGGCTTCAATGCGAAGGGCTCGGAGTCTGAAAGGAAGCCAGCACGGAAAGATCGAATCACGGTTCCAGTGATGTCAGAAAAGTCTCTAATTAAAGAGAGCTTCTCCTCTGCCCTGCTTTTCTGTTTGAACCCAGCTCCTTTGGAAATAAACAGACATCAAAGCTGACGCGTAGCAACCCCGGCTCCGCCTCTGCTGTTCCCCCCATGCTATCTCACGGGGGTTTGCTGTCCTGTAAACCAGGCACGTGGAGACTGCGAGACGCAGAACATCCCTCGGACACTGATCTGCAACCCGCACACTCCTCCGCTGCCAAAAATGCCCCAGCTGGGAGGGAGCCACAGGGAAGGGAGATCCTGGCCACGGGGAGCGGTGGGGTGGTGACGGGATAACCCCACTTGAATTTATTCTATTTTTTTTGGGGTGGCCCCCAAATCAGGAGGAATGCCGGAGGCCAGCAAAGTGGAGGCAGCGTCTGGAAGCTGAATTTCCCCTCCGCCGGTGTTGCTGTTTTCTCCCCGGTGCTTCCCCTCCGCTCAGACACGGGCGAGCTGGCTCCGTGGTTCCCTCCCTGCCTCTCCGCAGTGTCCAAGCAGACAGGCTCTGATGTCAAAGCAAACTTCAAGCCCTTGGTTTGGAAAAACGAGCAAACCACCTGGATTTGGGGCTGGGCATCCCGCTGGGGGGGCCCTGCTGGGAAGGTGACCTCTGAGAGCTGCGGCTTCAAAGCCAGAGCATCCCCTCCGTGGGTAAATCAGACTTGTCCCCTTTCCACCCTTGGTGACAGTGCCTTGAGCCTGGTTTTTAAACCTCGGAGGAGCTGCAATAATCCTATCATTTCCAGAGCGAGTCCTGTTATTTGGGGAGCTGCAAGGATGTCATTTCTTTCCTTCTCAATACCCGTTGTTCTCCAGAATTGCTGCGCGTGACACGGCGCCGGGGGGAGAAGGGGTCCCAGAGGCCAAGCACTCGGCGAGCGGCTGGTTCGGGGATATTAAAGGCATTTTTCAGAGCGGAGGATCGCTGGTGAGGCCCCTGTGGCACGTTGTCTGCAGAAAAGCCGTGGAAGCTGCAGGCCCCATGGGCTTGGACACGGCAGGGTTGGTGTCCCGGCGAGGAGCTCGTGTCCCTGCATCTCTCCGGCTGACACCCAGGGGGCTGGTGCTGCCTGCTCCTCCTCCTCACGCCAGAATAAAGCTTGCCTAAGGGGACATCAGGCTGCTGGCTGGAAGCGAGTGCTTTTGATGTGTTCCAGTAATCCCCTCCAAACGAGGGCTGGGGAAGGGAAAGCAGCTCAAGCATCCGAGCGCCTGCAGAGCAGCCCCCTCCCGTGCCCCCGGGGGTGGGTTCGGATGGGATAAACACGTTCAGGGGGCCAAAACCCCAATATTGGAGCTGCCCTTGCTCGGCCCTTCTGCCTTGTGGCTGGGCCCGCAAGCACTCACCCTGCTGCCCGTGCTCAAGGGGGGACGGGGGCCAGACCCCAGTGCCCAGGACAATCCCTGGTTCTCCCACTGCCTGGGTAGAAATAACTCCCCATCAAAGAAAGGAGGACAGACTTAGCTTGATCTCCAGGGCATACAAAAGGGCCTGTCCTTGTCCATGCTGTTCGAATATTGCTGATGGTATTCACCCGCTTGGCTCTGTATTGACGAGGTCTCCTCGTGGAGCTCAGCCCCAGTATATAATTGCAGTTTTATAGACTCCCGGCGTGCCGTGGGACACGGCATGGCCAAACCTCAGACCAGATTGTGAGGAATCTCCTCTCCTTGTGCTCCTTTCCTCGCCAGGCAGAGGCGTGCTCGGTGCTCGTGGACGATAAATCCCTGTCCGAGGAGGGATTAGGTGGCTGTCAATGCTATCTCGTGCTGCAGGAGGCTGCTCATTTCTCCGGGAACGGATGGCTGCCCACTTCCAACATCCAAACGTGCGGCGGCTGCGTTAATTTTACGGCTCTGGGCGGTGGCTGGGCTCTGCAGAGAGCAAGCACCAAGGCTGTGCCCCTTTGCAAAGAGCTGTGGGCAAGGGCTGGGGACAGAATTTGGGCTTTCTGGGACTGGGGAGCCCCAAACTGGGCCCGCTGCCCAGGC